CTCTACAGGAACCCCCCCCCACACAGACCAGTATGTGCTGTTTGGCTCCCACCACCCACTGGAACACAAGCTGGGAGTCATCAGAACCCTACACCACCAGGCCAGAACGGGCCTACCAGGACAGCAGGAAAGGAGGAGGAACAGAAGCACATCAAGACAGCACTCAAAACCTGTGGCTACCCAAGCTGGGCTTTCATCAAATCCTCTACAAAGCCCAGAGGAGATAGAGAAGACCAAGAAACCAAACCACACAGTTGTCCCCTATGTTGCAGGAGTTTCTGAGAGTTTCACTGTGGCAGGGGGAGCACTAACGACTCATAACGAGGGGGAGAAGCAACAAACCTCCAGTTGAAACCCAAACTCAGGTGTTTATAGCTGTTTAAAGATATCAGTATGTGGAACTCCCAACTAGTCAGTCAGAGCTGATGAAGCCTCTTGGATCAGAGGTGGAACGTCTTCAATCAGTCCAGCTGCTACGATCAATCTACCAGAAGAACCAGGACCTGGAGGACTGAGGATCTTCACAGACTAAGGGGAGCATGTACAAAGGAAACAATATAGGTCCTGACCCAGAGCCCTGTGGAACTCCATAACTAACTCTGTTGTGGATGTAAGAATCATTGATAACCTGAAGAAACTGGAATCCGTCTGTGTTAAGCGCTGTGAGATGACATGTTGTGAATTGCGCTCTATAAACAAAATTGAACTGAACTGAATTTAGTGACGTTCCTTTAAGTCCAGTAAACATCCCACTCTCTGTAATCAGATGCTGTGATCCACTGGATCAGCTGCAGCTCTGAGATCCAGTAGAACCAGTACACAAACTGGTCCACTGTCTGAGGCTAGAAGAAGATCATCAGTGACCTTCACCAGTGTGTCTCTGTTCTATGATGCTTCTAAATCCTGACTGAAGCTCTTCAGACAAACATTTCTATGCAGATCATCACATAACTGGCTGCAACAGCTTCTTCCAGAACTTTACCAATCAAAGGGAGGTTGGATCTGGGCCTATAGCTAGAACACCTGGATCTAGAGCAGGCTTTGTGAGCAGTGGTTTTATTAGAGCTACTTTAAAAGCCTACGTAGCCTGTTAATATAGAGAAGCTGATGATAGTTAATACTGCAGTATTTATTAGAGGGAAGACGTCCTTGAACAGTCTAGCTGGGACTGAGTCCAACAGACATGCTGCTGGTTCAGAAGAATTTCCTATGGACGTGAGCTCTGACAGGTTCACAGCAGAGAAGCAGTCACAGTATAGATCTGGTCCTATGGATGCATCCAGAGCTGCTGCTGCACCTACACACATGTTCATGAGTTTCTGTCTCATATTCAGACTTCATCAGTGAAGAAGGTCTGTGTGGGACTAAGACCAGAGGAGCTGCTCTCCATTGGTTGGCATTGAAGTCAATAATCCTGGAACCATTTCCTTAAATGTAGTTCCTGTCACTGGGATTAGGCTGCAGAGAAATAGAAGGGCTTCTTGCTTTATTTTAAAATGGGATTGTTCCTTCACCTGTCATCTGTTTTAGATCATTTTTTAGCTTTCTTAAGACACTTGCTTTGTGTGTTCTTTAAACCTTTAAAATAGTTCCCTGGTACTGTCTCATGTTTCTGCTCTGTTCTTTCAGTAAAATACTTCCTTCTTATGTAGATCTTTCAAAGACGTGAGCACTGAAACAGTCTTCCTGCCACGTGTAGGATGCTAACCCTAACCCGTCCTTGGTCATCCATCCCGATGTTAAAGACTTCTTTGCTATAGGAAACGACAGCAGCCGATGGGAAGCAAGCTGCCACTGTGGAAATGTGAAGTTCTGCTGAGGATCTGGATCCTGCAGTAAGGCAGCCCTGCTCGTTTTTCCTGTGACTTACACATCTGAATCACAGTGCATGCTCATGACTGGTACAATACAGACCCAGTACTTCAAACATAGACACACATCCAAACAGTTACAGTAAAATATTTTATTAAGAAATGATTATTCATTTTGAAAATAAGCTTAAGAAAATCCAGTGATATATGAAAATAATTATCAATCAGGTTAAAGTGCAAAAATACATTTTGATATAATGCATTTGTACAAAACAAAAATAACACTTATTGAAAAGGAGGGAACTGTGTGCTGCTCACATGGCTTTGACCATTCCCTGGTTTACAGATACAAGTGTGTGTGTGTGTAGGTGT